GTCCACGTTATATCCAAAATAAAGTAAAAATGTCATTAAATTAATTAATTACGATAACTTTCATGAGCCTCCTTTGATACATAAACCTGCATTTATGCAATGTTGAAATGCATAAAAAACTTGGCATTTTAATAATCTTTCAAATGATATGCTATTCAATACTATTATTGATATAAACCAGTGAGAAATTACTAATAAACTACTATAAAACACGGTTTACAGATTTTGTTTTTGCACAGTTTTACTGTTAATAATAATTACTGTATTCATCATGTTGGCATAATCTTGATTGGTAAAAGGCTCCATATTTTAATAAATGTTGAAAAACTCTTAATTGACTTGGAAATATAAAGTTAAACCAGCAAATTACTCAACAAGGTATGTTCAAGCAGCTGAGTTATCTAGCTATAGATGACAAATCAATAAAAGCTGACTTAATCAAGCACAAGGTAAACCTAATTACACAGCATTTAAGAATCAAACACACTTCATCTTTGAAAATGTGAAAAACCTTGAGTTTATACATTTTATTAATTCAGATAATTTTAATAAATATTTAAAAGTTAAAATAATGTACAAATTTTATCAGATAGTTCAATAAAATACATCATGGAGTATACAGTAATTATTATTAACAGTAAAACTGTGCAAAAACAAAATCTGTAAACCGTGTTTTATTGTAGTTTATTAGTAATTTCTCACTGGTTTATATCAATAATAGTATTGAATAGCATATCATTTGAAAGATTATTAAAATGCCAAGTTTTTTATGCATTTCAACATTGCATAAATGCAGGTTTATGTATCAAAGGAGGCCCATGAAAATTATCGTAATTAATTAATTTAATGACATTTTTACTTTATTTTGGATATAACGTGGACTATGTAATGGTATAATTGTTGAATGAAACCTTTGATTTATAGCAAATTTAATGTTCTTTCCAATGATTTTAACTATAACTCTCTAAAGTAATTGGTTAAGTTTTTATTACATAAATTGTGGAGCAAAGTCTAATAAAATAAGAAAAACACAAAATCCCCCAAAACAGCCAAACGGTCGAAAATCGGACATGGGTTTATAGGAACTTTTTTGTTCCTTTTAGTGAGTAGAACCCACTGGCGAAGTTAACACGGTCAGTAGAAACTCACCCTGTATATTTCTTCCTTTAAGCAATGAATAAAATTATTTACAAAAAAAAAATATTTTTTTTATTTTTTTTTATGTTACAACTTGATTATTAGTTGAGTGTAATACTAGAACTTAATGCTAGCCGTTTTAATATATCTGGGTTTAATCAGTTAAAGACATTTTTTAATAGTTTCTATATGTAACAGTTCTGTCTCAATATTGGTACACGTAACACCATGTCAAGTCGGTGCGCGGCACTGCAAGTGTAGTGGTGATCATCTACAGTGCCCGCACGCGCCGTCCACGCCAAGTGCGCACGGCCGCGGGCTGCCTTGGTCTTCGCTCTCTCTCCCACCTTTCCTCTCTCCACCTCGCACACCTGTGGCCCTTCCCACACTGTCTTGTTTGGCGCGAAATCTTCACCATAGCGGAGACTGCTTATTGAGTGTTACGGTTGCTATGTTTTTACAAATTGTTGTTCTAGTAGGTGTGCTGTAGGCCTATATTATTTTAGATTCAGTAGGACATTAATTAGCCTAATAATTGCTAGAAAACCACGTCCACGCAAGCGATGTAAACGGTCTAGTGTCTTGAAAAGACATTCACCTGGCCGGCTAAAAACAAGCGATCACTTAATTGAAGAAATCCGACAATTCTGCATCAGAAGCCCGAAAAATTTGTTTACCCCTCGAAGTCTTCAGCTGAACAAACCTAAATTGGTCACGTTATGATGTTATCTGTAAAAGAAAGAGTCTTTGTGCCTAAAAAGATCTAGCTAAGACATCAGATAAACCCGCCGATCGCCTAAGCGTACAGACATTGCCAGTTTTACGCTCATATAAGATTGATGAAAATATGAATTTGATTAAATTATTCTGAATCATATGAAAGAATGGGGGAAAACTTTGTTCTTTCCCCTTCAATTTGACGTTTAAATCGTTTAATTATCTTGATTAGTTCCCGAGCAACGACCGTTTAAAATCCCGGTATTCTTTTAAAAACACCCTGTATATTGAAATTATTCCTTTGAGACGTTAGGTTCATGTAATAGTTATGGGATAAACAACAGACCTAAAAACTGTGTTTTGTTATCATAAGTTATCTTGAAGTTCTGTTGTATTATTCTGAAGTATTATGTTGTGTAAAATTCTGCCTGATAACTTCTTAAAAATAAGCAACTAAAACATTTATATTAACCTATCGTCTAAATTAATTTGTTGATTGAATGTGGTTTTATTTAGTACGTTATTAGTTTACATTTTTATTTAGCCATTTTAGATATAGTTTGTATTAAAGATTCGTTTAACTGTGATGTCATTCTTGTGCAATATGCTTCTACTTATATATATAATTCTTCAACATTGAAAATCTTTGTACAACTAAATCTAGAGTTCTACTGGACCGATTTATTCATTAGTGGGTCATTGGAAAGCTTAACTCATGTAGATTTGCAAATAATTATGAACGTTTTTAGCGAATTAATAAATAAATAAATTAGACTAACACTTTGTAAAACTTGGTGAGAACAGCACTAACTATGTCGTAACACTACAAAACCACAGATAGGAATGAGCGTTTCCGTCATGTATTTCCCTACTCCTAGAGAGAGTGTTGTAATTTTTACCATAAAAATGTTGCAAGAGAGGGTGATAGTGTGAATTATAGGTATTCCTTGGTCCATCGGCCGGTGCCTAGAGGGGTGATGACCCACGGGTTGGGGTTGATGACTCACCCAGCCAGGTATAAAGTGGTGGCAAATGACACAAATCCAAGAGTGGTGGCAAATGACACTGGTGGCAAATAACACATATTCATGTATGTATTAAGGATGTTCGTTCCATTTTTTTAAATATTTTATTTTTAAAATTTTTTCTTACAAATTCATTAAGTTATCAATCAATAAGAATGGGGAAAAAAGGTTTTTAAAAATGTTTCCCCCATTTACCAAGACGTTAAACGTTAAACTCAAGAACGGATGTAGACTGAGACACCAAAAATAAAAAAAGCAAACATAAAAAAAGACACCAAAGGCAAATAAAAAAAATATCTGTGTGACTTAGTTTCAAATATTTATATTATTACTGCAACACTATTACAGCCAGTGTGTTAAAAAAACAGATTAATTATTGATACATTAATATTATGTATTACTATAACAGTAAGCGCAAACACCAATCAACATAAGATAGTCAATTTGTGTCAGTTAGCAACGTGATTTGGTTTAGTGTTGCTAGCCTGGACCGAGGATACGACGGGCCGTGCCCGTGCCAGGCCTCGCGTATACGAGAAGCAGTGATGCAGTGTGTGGTGTGAGGAGGGGTGAGGGGGACAGCTCAAACACACACCTACAGCGCTGCCTCCAAACGGACATCCAAGCGCGCGCGGTGGCGACTTGTAGAACTACTGCTCCTCACCTTCAGACTAGCCTAGCGCCCAAACAGCCTTAATCAACTCTTAAAGTTTTGTTGTGAGATTTAAATACTTATCCTCGACATTACATCTACATTCTATTTCATGGTGCAAATTTTCTTCATCGGTTAATGTATCAGTTTGGTCCTGAATACTTTTGTAACGTTCCCACTGGTCAGCAATTGCTTTGAGTTTAACACTCACCTCAGGCACTGTAAGACTACCTTGAGACTGGAATCTTTCTGCCTTCTTCAACAGTCCTTTTACTACAACTTGTGCTTTCTTTAGATTATTTAACTCTTGTCCATCCATTCTTCGTTTTCCTTGTTGCCAATGTTACATTTTCAAATAATAAGTAAATTAGTTCAGTTGAATCAAACTCATAGGTACTTTAATGTAAACAGAAAAACTCCAATCACATGTTCTATTCAAAGTGTGGAATGAAAATAAAGAAGTCTGTACATTAAATATTTTTGGTCGAGTTTTGACCACTGGACGACCTCTAGTATGGTCTTAAGTCAGTACATCAGTTAAACACATCAGCCTGGAACTGTGTAAAGCAGAGCAGTTCACCAAGACCATACTTAAGGATGGAAGGTCAATTTTGATCGGTCTTAGTTTTCGGAGGAAATAAGAGAAGGATAGTCCTAGAGGCATAGTTTCAAAGGGCTGTCCGAAGTAATAGTAATGCGCTAACCCAGTGTCTTAGGAGATGAGGGGGTTTTTTAGCCAGTAGTCCATCAGGGATATTGAGCCCGAGGGAGTCTGGCACTACTGATAGGCCTTTAAGCATCTCAGTGTGTGTAAATGCACAGCGTTACCTCCTCCCCACAAAAAAAAACTCAAAAATGTGCGTTCCATTGCTCACATAAGAAAAAAAAGGTGTGCAGTCCCACACACCGTAACTTGAGGTACGCTGCTAGTGGGGATTCCAGGAGAAAACCTCGCAGACACACATTTGTTAAATCAGAGGTGTTTGCATATGTACACAGTCATTTGATTATTGATTGCCAGTGTTTTAAGAACCCTTGTTGCAATGCCTGCATGTATACATAGCCTAAAGAGATACTTATCTTTACAGCAGCATGAATTGTGAAGAATTATTGCAATACTACAATCAACATGATCATCTACACACAGACAAAAACATATGTGATAATTTTACTATTTATATTTTGTATAATGCTGCATTATTACATGCTACAAAAAAGGTTGATATGATTTTTAATAAGGCATTTTGTCTGACAACATACCTTGGACATAAGCACTAGCGCTCATCCCCTCGAGCAATGAGGTCAGTCAACAGTCCACAAAAATTGTTCTAAGTGCGGTGGTTAAAGCTAAGCATAGAGTTTTTGTTCATTCTGAAATATTCTTTTAAATTATGCAGCTGTTGGTTCAGTCGTTGAGTCACTACAAACTGACTTTATATATCCACTTTCAAACAATCTTTTGGTTTCAGGTGTTCTTTGCAGAGAAAACTGATATTTCACAATCCAGCCTAGTGGAAGAAATACAATTAAATGATGGCAGAGTCGGTGAGTTTATTTCTGATAAGGTTAATCCATTCGTGGGTTTTGCTGTTTTTAGCACTGTTCCTAAATCATTTTATGACTTTCTTCAGACTTAATTGAGGTGCTTTCCTTGTTATTGTTAAAATGAAAGTTGAATAATCTTATGGTTACAACAAAAGTGGGATTCAACACTTGTTTATACTTTTCTTTAATACTTTTTGATGAAATGGCGACCATACAAAGTAGGTATTTTAAGCCAAGTATGAATGGAGATGAGTGTAGGATGAGTGGCGCGATCTTGTAGTCTTGTTAGTGACTAAGGCCGACATATTCCTTAGACACAGCTGTTAATTAATAGCCCATACAGCTAATGGCAACTAAGGGACCTACAGTTTATAGTGGAATCCGATTATCCGAACCACATTTTCGCCTTGGTATATACCAAGGTTTATGTTAGTAAACCAAAATTACAAAGAGATCCATGTTTTTCGCTTATTTAGTATGTATTGTATGCAAACAATATTGAAAGATAAGTAAAGAAAAGTTTGTTGACATGTTCAAAATTTTGGTGTTAAGTTACAGCATTGACTTTTGTCAAAGGTTACGGTTACAGTGTGTTTAGTGTTTATGGTTTTCTTGTTGCCGTATGTATCCAATTTTAGGTATTTGCCTTAGTTTTATCAACACAATAATTCATGTTTACAAAATGAAGGTAAATGAAGCTTAAAAAACTTGTCAAAACAATATAATGGGCCCCATTATATTGTTTTGACAAGTTTTTTTTTTAATGGGCCTAACTTTTAAACCAGCTTAAAAATAAATGTAAATCTATCTATCACGGACGTGTCGCTAAAACTTTTTCACTCTTTTAATGCTAAATTACGTCCTGAATTCAAAAATGATTGTCATTTTCCGCGGAAAAGCACCGTTTTCCCGGAAAAGCGGAAAAACGGGGAAAAAATTGTTTTGCGGAAATGGGTCATGTGTATACTCAAATTAACCGGTAAAGCGAGCTGAACAATAATATGCAAAAAATTTCAAGATCCGATTAATATTAACGGAGATACGGCCGAAAAAGCGCGGCCGGAAAAGTTCATTAGTCACAGGAACAACGGCATCTAGGCCAAAAAATGTTAGGTTAAGTTAGGTTAGGTTAGGTTAAGTTAGGTTAAGTTAGGTTAAGTTAGGTTAGGTTAGGTTAGCTTAGGTAAGTTAGGTTAGGTTAGGTTAAGTTTGGTTAGATTAGGTTGTCTAACCTAACCTAACTTAAACCTAACCTAACTTACCTAACCTAACCTTTTTTGGCCATTTTGGCGCTAACTCGATTGACCGACGCTTTTCCTTTTCTTTTTAGAGTGAGTTACAAAACTACATAGCCTACATTGGTCAATTGGCCTAGTGCTATAATTATCTGGGTTTATATTAGTTTCTCCTATTACATTATCCTATATGTTAATAGGCAAGCATGTTTCTTTAAAACCTTTTTTCCCAGCTTGTGTGCATCACAGAGAAAATCTACCCATACTAATGGAAATTGTTCCATTTGTTTTGATATTTGTATTATTTTGTTGTTATTCCGTCACCAACATGGTAACCCCTAAGGCACATGTTAATATTTTTTTATTTGAAATTCATTTTTGTGCTTATTTTTTAAGGGATCACATAATTTGTCCGTGTTTTCAGTTGTCCAAGTTTGTTAAAAAGTACAAAATATTAGGAAAATCAGTTGTCCGAGTTTTACTGTAATTTAACCGAGGTTTGATAAATAACTAATAATATTTAAATAAATCAACAGTCCGAGTTTTCAACTGGCCGAGTATCGTCAGCATCAAAAGTGACACTGTGCGCTGAGACTAGCGTCACAGGGTCCTGGTCAGAAACTGATTAGAACCTGTTCTACGAAGGAGTGGGGGATTTCTATTTTTATGAACATGACTATTTTTTATTTTATTAGTAATTATATTATCAGCCAGTTTGGTTGGTTAGGTTAGGCTATAACAGTTAAATTTTATAATTAAAAATCATAAAATTAATTTTATAATTTTTCTTAAGTTGACATGAGCCAAGGCCACATAATACTACAGGCCGGAGTGCTTCAACTGTGACGTCATGGAAGAAGCCGGGCCGCTGCCTCCCTTAACAACAGGCTCTAACGGGATTCATTGTCGCACCCTCAAAATTATTGCACTCTGAGCCACTGGTTGCGATTAATCTGTACAAACTAGATATTTTATCAATCTGCGTTAATCAGCAAACAAGATGATGCAAGAAAATATTTATTTGAAGATTTTTTTTATACTAGTTTTTATAAATTAAACTAAACTTTTGCTCCCCAATGGTAACATAATAGATCAATTCTGTAAAAATTCAACACTGTTGTACATAAATAAAAGAACAAATAAATATACCATTTATCATAGCCATGTATTTTCCTTTTTAGTGAAATTATCAGGTTGACTATAAATATTTAAATAATTAAAAATTCTCATGTCGTGGATCAGAGTCAGGATGAAAATGAAACTAGGTTATTATGATGTTTTTCATACACTGGATTTCTTTATTATAAACAAATAAAAAGTATTAAATCAATCAACTTTAATCAGTGCCAGGAGTAATTTTTTAGCCTTTCTTTTTATTACATCTTTGTCAACTTCAGTTTTATATTTTGATGTTTGCAAAATATCACTTTTATTTCAACTAAATTTCTTATACTTTGAAGAAACGAACATGGGAAATTGTGATGCACAACAAGGATTCAATGAGGGGGTAATTATCACGGACATTAGAACGGATAACGGTATGGATAATAAACATAGACAAATACGTCACTATTGTTGGGACCACGTAAGTTTGCAGTTGGTGGCAGCCAATCACAAGACAAGGCTAGTGCGACGTTGCCACATCGCCCGTTGACAACACTAATTAAAATATACTAAGCAATATATTAAAATCAGCTGGTATTAACAGATTTGGCAACACCGCACGGTTCTCATTGGTTCATTCAAAACCATATGGTAAATAGGCTCCTCCTTCAACTGCAAACTTACGTGGTCCCGACATTAGCTTACTACCTTGTTTTTCCCAAAAAATACCAGTTTTTCGATATAAACCATCTAACTTAAGGGTAGGAACCTCTATTAAAGGGCTATATTTAGGGCTCACAATTATTGAAGATACATCTGCTGTTAGATTTGTTTTTCTTTTAGATTGTTTGTTTACTTTACCTTGAGTTAACCTTTTGATTCTACCACCATGGATTTTCCATCAATAGAAGTGACGGACTGACGGTACAATTTTCCTTATATGCGAGAGTGTTCAATACTTTGAATTTTGTTTTAATTGTTTACTTATTATTTAAGTATTTTAAAATTTTAAAACACAGTAGGCCTAATTGATGTTGCAGACAATTTCTGTGTAGTTAAACGACACAAGAATTATAGAGTTTGGACGGGGCATTTTGTGTTCCAACTGGGAAAAAAACGCATCTGTAGGGTATTTTCCCTGGTGACATATACATTGATCAAATTATTAACATCATGAACAAGTGCTTAATCAATTAGGAGATTGCATTGGACAAGACGTTGAAGAATCACCATATCTTCTCTGCGTTCTCTTCCCGTGGTGAGGCTCGAGCAGAACAACTAGTTATTATTAAGTGTCATCTTCAATTACAAATAAACGGTATAAACTAAATGAGAAGCTGTCACTACAAAACCACATTAATGCTGCACATTGTTGGCACCTAAAGCCCGCTACACACGGTCAGTTCGGTGTGTCAGTTTGGTGTGTTCATTTCTAACTGTCACTTCTAACTGAACGCAGCATTTGCATCCACACGGTCAGTTCGGTGTGTCAGTTCAATGTGCTACCTGGGGGTGTAATCCTCCCAGGTACGCTTCCCCTCCTGGGAAGTCGTACTCGTTCGTATGCATTTTCATAAAAATGTTTATTTTCCTACACAGGACAGATTTGTTGGTGATGAGATGGATCTCTTTCACCTTTCCCACAATACCTAAAAGAATAATATGATTACTAAAGCTATTATTTGTTGTAAATTGTGATAACCTTCATATGAATTATGACTTAAATGACAATAAACAAACTGTGAACAAAAAATGACATCTACAGTACACCGGACAGAACTAACAAATAAATTTTCTTCAACTTATTCTTAAGGTATGAGAATTCTACTAATAAAGTATGTTTTATTACGGTATAGGTTATATAATGACGCTGCGTATGCTCAAATACCAAAATTTGAGTGCCAGCTTAGATGTCACTTGCTTTACTAGCCTAATGCCGCTGGTGTCGACCAGGGCTGGGCGTTCAGCTCATTCTGTGACGTAGCAGCGTGAGTGGAGGGGGGCACTCCGGCCTTTAGTATAGTGTGGCCTTGCGTGAGCCCACAATCTCCCACTCCTTCGCAGAAGAGGTTCTCATCGGTTTTTGACCAGGATCCAGGGACGCTAGTCTCAGAGCGCGGTATCACTTTTTATGCTGACGATACTCGGACAGTTGATATTTAAACATCAGGCCTCCAAGTCATCCTACTTTTCCTACTTTTCCTACTTTTTAGTAGGAAAGTAGGAAAAGTCCTACTTTTCACACATTTGTCCTACTTTCCTACTTTTCCATAAAAATTATGTCGATTTTGCAATAATTAATTATGCTTATTATTAATGCTTATATCAATATAAGAGGGTTGATCACTACTATAGTCAAATCTTTGCTTTGAATGATGATCTTGGCCAAGAAAAGTATCCTGAACTTACTAAATTAGTTAAAGCAGTTTTGGTAATCCCGCATGGTAATTCAGATGTAGAACGAGGATTTTCTTAAACTTCTAACTTTTTGACTAGCACAAGAACATCTCTATCAGCAGCCTCGATCAGTGCTTTGCAATCAACAAAGGATGGCTTAAAGAAGTTTGACAATAAATGTCACTTAGTCCCTATTACTAAAGATTTCATTAATAAAGGTTCTAGAGCCTACAAATCTTACTTAGAGAGAATAGAAGAAGAAAAAAGAGTTGAAGCGGAAATAAAAAAACAAAAGGAAGAAGAAAAACAGAAAAGATTGAAATAAAAAGAAGATTTGGCAAGAAAGAAAGCTGAATTTGAAAAGAAAAGTAGAAAAACTAAAGAAGTAATATTGAAAGAAAAAAACTCTAGGAAAGAAAGAGGATGAAGCTGCATCAGAGATGGACACTTACAAGACACTAGTAGATGAAGCAAATGAAAGAATAAAAAATGCATTAAAGAACCAAGATTTAAAAGGGGTTAAAATAGGACAAACCATGCTGGAAGCAGCATGTAAAAAAGTTGAGGAAAGTAAATCCAGCCTAGCTAAAATTAGAATAGAACAGAAAGAAATTGAAAAAACTAAACGTACGATGTTAGATTATTTCATATCAAGTCAAAACAAAAAACTGAAGAAGAATTAGAAAATTAAATGAATTCCTGAAAAAAATCCTTTTGTTCAGCTAAGTTTTTCATCTTCATTTTTTGCCACTAATGTCTACTAGTGTGAATTATTGCCTTTTTAATGACAACTAGATAGTTTTTAGTTATTGTTTTTTTTTCTCATTGGTAGGCTATACCAAGAAGAAGCTTAATTTGTTCTATATTTGTTTTATTGTTAATTTTGTTTTTGTAGTAGCCTTAAGCAATAAGTAATTTCAATTTGTGTTTGATTTAAAAATACAAAACATGATAATTTTTTGGTTTATTAAGGGTATACCAAGAAGCTATGTTTATTTTATTTAGTTTTCTTATTCAATTTATTTTTGTGGTAAAAAAGTTTAAGGTATTTAGTATTACACAGTTATGTAAACTACTTTTAACACTGTAATTTTGTAATTTTGAAAACTAATAAATTGATTAAAACAATAAATTAATGGCCATACCCCATCCAGAGTTTTAGTTGATTTTGTTGTAAAAACATAACGTGTAAAACCCCTTTAAGTTTTGTCTGCAGTTTAATGTTTAAATACATTTCTGATTTTGCTTATTTATGTATATTTGAGCCCTGGGATACTAGCTTAAAAAGTAGTTAACTTTAGCACTTATCAGGCCAGTGATTCCATGATTAGCCTAAACGTAATTTTAACATAACTGTATCCAAAATAAAATAAGGCTTAAGTTCAAGCCTTAATGTCCAAGCCTCACTGGTTCAAATTGTTTTTACTCATTACAATTCAAACATTCCTACTACTTTCAAGATAGCTCTAATCTAACTATAATCCAAAATACTTTTGGAAAATATTTTTAGAATTTTAGATTATATAGCACCATACTGTATACTTAAATTCATACTTCTGTTTTTGACCCAAAAAATTTTATTTTACTTTTATATTAATTTTAGCTCTGAAATATTAAATAAGATTAAAAAAAGAGAACAAATTTCTTATTTACAGCACCGTTTTAAACACAAATTAGGGCTGGTTAACCTTTGGGAAACATATTTATTTTTATCCTTTAATTATATTTAATGCTGCTTGTCCTAAATATTTTTTAATGGCGACTGTAATAATGACTCCTTAACCTTTTAATTTCTCTTGTGCTTTACTTTTGATTATTTGGTGGACAAACTCAGCTAAAACTTTATCCGGCCTTTGGTTGGGGATTTTTTTTAATAAAAAAATTAATTTAATTATTGATTAAAATATAAAAATGTATATATAGAATTATTTTAGTCATATATTTATAATATGCATTTATATTATTCTATTTGATAGACTGTTGTGTATTCTATTATTATTTGGTTTTTAATATATATTGTTTCAGCAAAAAAGTTCGATTTTGATGTAAAATTAAGTCCTACTTTTCAGTAAAAAGTCCTACTCATTGCTGAAAAAGTCCTACTTTTCCTACTTTTTTGGGGTAAAAAACCACTTGGGGGCCTGAAACATTTTTTTAAATATTTAAAATCTGGGACAAATGAGTGCTCGGACAGTTGATTTAACCAAAGATTATTATTATTTACACCAACCTCGGACAAATGAAAACTCGAACAGTTGATTTATCTTTTAAATATTATTAGTTATTTATCAAACTTCGGACAAATGAGAACTCGGACAACTGATTTTTCTAATATTTTGTAATTTTTAACAAACTCATACAACTGAAAACTCTGACAAATGAACCTCACCCTTTTTGAGCCTATTTTAATTTATAAAGGGATTATATATATCTACAGGAAAATAACTTTCATTTGGTACCTAACGTGTGTAATTCGGTCCATTAGTATAGTCAGTCTAGCTGTCATAAGTTTTGCAAAAGTTTCTTAGTATTTAAGAATAACTTAATGTGAGCAATGGTAACTATTAACTGGTTCATATAAATGGGATGTCTACTTCATTATCCAATAGTCACAAATATCTCCTTCAGTATTATTCCGCCAATGCAATAATGAATTAAAATTTTTGAATTGTCGCTGTATTGGAGGAAAACTACCTCAACTCCCAAGGAATGCAGACCTATATAATAAAAACAACCTTTTTCTTTGCAGTAAAAGGTTGTTGTGTTTGAAAATATTAAAAATATAATAAAAGCCATTCATTTGTTAGAATGACTAATTAAAGTAAAATATATGATTATGATACCTTAATTTTCATTTTATTTTTAGGAAAACACTCATACTAACTGGAAGAACATCACGTCATCTCTGCATAAGATTGTAGAATGTCCAGTGTGTCTGGATACAATCCAAATTCCATTTAAGACGTGCAGCAGAGGTCATGGGGTTTGTAACTGCTGTTGCGAGAAGTTAAAGAATTGCCCGACGTGCGAAGGTCCATTCACAACAGAGAATCCTGTGTGTTTAAAAAACCTTCTGGAAGCCCTACCTCGTCAGTGCAAGTACCATGAAGATGGTTGTCAAGTCATTCTGCAGTCAGGGAGTGACCATGAAGAATTTTGTGGATTTAGACCTGCAGAGTGTAGGCAAAAGGATTGCAACACTGTGATTCCTTTGATAAAACTGGTGGATCACTATGAGAATGAGCATTATGACTCACTCTATAAGTACGACGCAAATTCAGCTAATACTTGGTCTTGGATACCGTTTAAGCCTGAGGAATACTATTTTGTAAATTTGCTTACCTCCGTATTTAACAATATATTCTGGGTTACCGAAAATTTAAATGAGAAATGTTTTGAACTTACCTTTGAAGCAACTCCAATTGGAAAGTTGAAAAATGAACATTTCGTAAGAGTAGAGTTTAAAAAAGGTGAGTTTGTATATGTGTCTACATTAAAGGCTTCTGTAGTGAAGTGTTCTGAAATAGGGGGGATAAGTAACACAGATGATGAAAATAGTTGCATGAGGATTCCACAAAGCGCCTTGTACAATGTCATTGATGAAGAAAATCTTGTATGTGAGGCTACGTTTTTTGAACGCCAAAAGTAAAATTCCTTATGTACATGAACCTTGTTCAAATAGTGTTGCAATCTAAGTTTTGTATATTAAGCTTTGACATTTTTTGCTGTTTTTAAGATTTGACAATCCATTGTGCTATGTATTTTATAAGATTTATAAGGGTTATCAACGATTTTAAGCAAATGTGTAGAATGACTACAGTGCCTTTAACTAAATTATTTTGTAGTTGTGAAGAGTAAGACAATAGTGTCATATAATAGAGGAAACCTATAGACATTATTTTTTTAAGATTTTGTAAGTGTGTGGTTTATAGTGTCAATGTTTTTGAGCTCATAAGATACTGTACAATGATTATTGAGTATCTGTAATATGCAGGATAGTAGGGATGGGCTAAATGATTATTGGTGTTATCATTTTAAAAGTGATCGTAACTATGTCATGATTTTGTATTTTGCCACACAATGATGCAATTTATGGTATTTTTTGATATTTTTTTATTAAAGGGTATTTTTAAGATCTTCTGCTAGTTTAAGTATTTTGATAAGTTGATGTAATCTAAAAAAGTGAGACTCAATTAAACTTTACTTGTTTGTGTATGAAATATTTTTTGCCTGAGTGATTACACCTAAGGAATCTTAACAATGTTCGAACAATGACAATAATAGCAGCTGTATATACAATAATACTGGCTATCCATAACTAGTAATATTTATCGTACTCCCTATGAGGATCTGAATTTGACACATAGTTAATAATTAATAAAGTCAAAGTAGTAAAGCAAAAGAATTTGTTTAAAAAATACTGTTTCCATATATTTTAATTAGTTTGGGCATGTGAGCACAATGTGAATTTCAATCTATCTCTACAATACTCATACTACATAAACATTCCCCCTGCAGCAAACCTGCAGACTTAGAACATTTTCATTTACCTGGTTGGAAGGTACCGGTACCGGTATTGAGGTGTGTTTTTACTTTCTCCCCCTATACCATAGTATATGGAGAAAGTATTGTTTTCGTCAAAATGTTTGAGTTTTGAGTGGATATATTCTTTTTGGGTCCCCCCTGGTTTTCGAAGTGATGTCTGGATGTATACAGAGCTAGGGACTACACCTGTAGTCCGATTTCGATGAAATTTGGTATGTAGTTTCTAATCCATGGTGAAATTTTGATTTTTAATGGGGATTTTCCCATAAAACCCATGATACGGTTTTATTTAACATAGTATGTTATGGTCCCTACAATTTTGATCGATTTTAATTTTTTCACAATTAGATTTTTAATGGGGATTTTCCCATAAAACCCCATAAAATAACAGAAAAATAGGATTTTCCCAAAAATGGTCCAAACAATTTTGATAAAAATCTAGTATGTTATAATCCTTTATATTCTGAACAAAATGGTACAAATCCCATTTCTGTAAAAATTGTGGTTCAAAAGTTATTGTAAATTATGTTATTTTCCCATCAAATAAGGGAAAAATCGGATTTTTCCAAAAATGGCCCAAAGAATTTTGATAAACATTTAGTATGTTATAGTCCTTTAAATTCTGAACAAAATTTTAGAGATCCCATTTCCTTATATTTACTCTCACCACTTACACATGATAAAAAATTGTTGACAAACTTGTGGGAGAAAGTATGTGTCAGAATGCTGATACCGTTTATTTTGTTGAAATGTTTTAGTATGACAAACAAGATTGTCAAATTTTATTAAAATATACCGGGTGTCCATAAAATATTCCTCAGGTTTTAAAATACCATATTGGACTTACAGATACCGGTACATGAATGATTACTTCAAAGTGCATGGATTGAAAAAGAAAGCTCTCATGTTTTGTTTGATATCCCTAAAGTTGTTGATGTACTTTCCGTTTTCAGGGAAACATGTTTCCAGTCTATATTGCAACTCTGCTCAAACGTTGGTATGCATATCCTGGCATACTGTTGTCTGCCAGGGCTCTACCCAGCTTTGGCAGGTTTTGAGCTGACGGCTTGATGTCTGTGTCCTTCACTTAGCCTCATAGAACGAAATCGCATACAGTAAGGTCTGGGGAACTAGGAGAGCTAAGTCATCCTCAGCTTAGTGGTCAATCCAAACCATCAGGGAGTCTCTTAGTTTAAAAAAATTTGGACATCACATCAGTGACAACAAAGCTGAGGGGTCTTGCTGGAACACTAAGCCCTCCATGTCCTCTTCAAGTTGGGGAAACGGCCCTTGCTTCAACATGTCCAGATATGCAATACTATGTACAGTTAGTTAGAAACACTATTATCATATCTTATATCAGCACAGATATAAGGTTTTTTATTTAATCATAGGCATTTTGAAACAACGCATTTCGAAAGAAAGCAAAAAAGAAATCAACACAAAATAAAATGGACGACTTTGACAGTGGCGTACACTGTCATCGTTGAGGGCCTGGGGTGGCTTAGATGAGGGTTCATCTAAGCCCCCCTCAACTATGACAGTGTACGCCACTGTCAAAGTCATCCATTTTATTTTGTGTTGTTTTTAACTATGTATTGCATAATCTTACAATTATTTATTAATCTTAATCATAACTGAATGTTATTAATGTAAATTGCATTTCCATAGAAAATAAAAACAAAAAAATAAAAAGTGGTTAATGCGAGTTGCCGTGGTGGCACTTGTTGGGGTGGCGACTTCACGGTAATCTCACGTCCCACGTGTTCTTTATAACATGACCATATCACATTGCGTACCAACACTTGACTGTATACACGCATCTTGAGTTTTGCAATCATACTTAATGATGAACAACTACAGTTTATCGTTATGACTAGCTTGGTTTTATGGCTAAAATAGTATTTAGACGAGGACAATAACAGAGAAATAACGCAATTATATCAAAACACACGTGGTTCTTCTAGAAAAGATCGCTGATTTAGACATGGGCGTCCAACAATATGAGTAAGGGGGAACCAGGGCCACACTATGACTATGAGATTCTATTCTACGTTAACTAAATGACTACAATTTAAAAAAAAATTATGCACAAAAAAAACAATACATATAGAGTACAACAAGCCAACTAAAAACAAATTTGAAAAATATACATTTTTAACTTTTTAGTGGAGGCCCCATGAATCTACCCAAACCACCCTTTAGTAAGGGTTATTCTTTACCCTCCAACTTCCCCCTCCTTATGGAACATTTTTTAGATGGACGCCCATGGATTTAAATCTAAATGTTTAACAGTTACACGGGGAAAATGACACTGCCTTTTTTTAAAAAGCCCCTAACTCGGTTTCTTTCACGGCCGCCTTTAACTACAGG